GAACCAATTAAGTCTTGATACAAAGGCGATACCTTTTAACAAACAAACAATAATAATTAAAAACAAAGCTTGGGATTCTCTTTTATCCTTCAAAACAGTTTTTTTTTTTCCTTCTAAATTATTACTATTATTTTCCCAGCACTCATCAATCCTATTCCCCTCTCAATAGTCTCTTTGGAGATCGCTGATCGGAATTTTATTCCGATTTCTCATCGAAAAATCTAAGTTAGAAACAAAAATGCGACACAATTGCTGCCATGTCTCGTTCGCTTCCGTTCTCAAGATCCTCAATTTTCTCCAGGCTTTCATCGGTGTATCCATCATAATCTACTCCATCTGGATGCTCGATCAATACAACCATCACGTTCCCGTCGATCCTCCTCCTCTGGCGGCTCCTTCGCCGGCTTCTTATTCCTTCTCTAGCTCGAAATTTGAAATCGTTTCTGATTCCGTGAACAATCCCATTAATTTCGTTCTCGGGTCTGGTGGTGATTCGGGTTTCAACCTCCGTTCCCTAGATCTTCCTGCTCCATGGTTTGATTCTGCTCTTTCTTAAAAAGTTTCCATTTTTAGGGTTTGTTCGATTCAATCGCGCCCTAGTTGACTAATACTCTGTTTGAACTCACAAGTTTCATGGATCATTTTTGTGATTACTCAATTTTGATTTCGATTGACTGTCATCTTCTTATCCATTACATTTGAATTTGATGGTAACGTATGAAAAAAGGGCATATGATGATGATGTGTTTGATTAAGCTTAAGACAATGAATGTTTGATGCTTAAAGGAATGTTCCAATGAATCGACTTGGTTGTGTTCTAAATTCAATGCAGGTTCATCTACTCTTTCATGGCGATTGGGATTTTGGTCTGCATTGTCACTATCATTGGTTTCATAGCAGCTGAAGCTATCAATGGATGTTGCTTGTGTTTCGTATCCTTACATATATATACATATTCTACAGTCTTTTAACTCCTTTTTTATTTGAAATTTGGGGTGTTTAATCCTTGATATGTCTTTTAGTATTCTATTCTCAAAACTCTTGTGATCATACTTGAAGCGGGTCTCGTGGGATTCATAGCGATTGACCGTCACTGGGAAAAGGTGAGTTGCTTCTTCTTACATTTTGAAGCGTGCATCTTGTGTGTTTGAGTAACAGTTCTAGACTTGTGTCTCTTTAGGATCTCCCGTATGATCCAACTGGAGAACTCAATAGCCTCCGAGCTTTCATTGAAGCAAACATCGATATATGCAAATGGGTCGGGATTGTTGTGGTAGCGATCCAGGTAACTAACTCAGTTCTTGTCTTTTTGACATTTGCGTTATTTCATGGTTCTCTCTTTTATGTTTGTATTCATACATGGGAGTTGGTGGTTTCAGCTACTGTCATTGCTACTGGCTATGGTTCTGAGAGCTATGGTTTCTCCTCGGCAATCGGAGCTTGACGATGAGGATGATTATGAGAATCCGATGAACAGAGCACGGGAGAATCTTCTTGGTCCTCAGGCAAACCAGGCATCTTCTGGATCAAGCAATATTGACAACTGGAGGTCCCGAATCAGAGAGAAGGTAAAAGACTAAGTTTTCTTGATTGATTGAACATAGTACTGGTAAGCTTGTGATTGATCATCTATATAACGGGTTTTGTTTTTCTGAATGTTCTATTCCAGTACGGATTGACCAACGGACAGAGCCAGACTCCATCAGTTTAACTCAAAAGACTTGAGTTCTTGTGTCCGGAACTGGAAACATTACTTTGGTTTTAGTCCTCTCAATTTTTCGCTCTTGTTGTCTTTGTATCTTTGAGTGTGCATAAGTATTACACAACTATGTCATTCATTTGATGTCTTTCTTGAAACTCTGTTTAGATCGCAACATAGCTTTCATTTTGGTGTGTTTGTTGTACAAAAGCGTAACGAGGTTTGTGTTTAAAATGGAAACAATTGCTTATTGCTCTGCTTCAACAATGGCTACATCACATTTTGGTTTCTCAATCGTTACAAAAATAATCGAGACAAAAATTCCCAGAGAGAAATTAAAAACTTACACTATCTTACAGTTTTATTGAATGTTGTTATGTTCTCGTCTCATCGTGTAAAATCTATGACGGCTTCCTCTACAAGCTCTTGCAGCAATCTGCTTTCAATTTCAATACCAAAGTCGTCTATTTCGACTTGCAAGCCATCAGTCCACTTCCTTCCAAGGATTTCGTCCTTCACTAGACTCTCTGCAGCTAAACTGTTTGCGTCCATGTCCTCTCCTGAGTCACGCTTGCTATGCTCATCAGAAACCCAGTCCTTTATCTGGGCCCACACATGCTCAACCAGGTCGAACCGCAGAGAATCATTGCCCATGTGTGTAATCGTGGATTCTGAAATGATGGCATTGATGCAGTCGAAAATGAGCTTGCAGGTTGATCGGTGTTGTCTGCGTTTGCCTTCGTGGATGAACTCTTTGACGTTGTTATCTTCGTTGGTGTATTTGTCTCTGAGTGAACGGTCTAAGGGACTGTTTGGCAAGTGCCACCGCGACATCAGCGAGTCATGAGAGACGGTGCTGCCTCTGCTGAAACCCGCAGCTATCAAGAGCGTTTCGATGAATAAATACCAGTCTTCATCCTCGTGGACTTCGGTTGCGGGTTTAGATATGTCTGTGGAAGAGTCATCGTCCCATGAGAGGATCCGAGCGATTGACCCAATTGGTGGTGATTTGTCGATTAGATTAGACTTAAGAGACATTTCTTCTCCTGTTGAGAATAATAGGACACTTTTGGATTAGCTGAGTAACAAAACTCTCTGCAAAAGCTAAGCAACTGAATAACTAACCTTGGGTCGTGGTTGACCCAGAACATTCTGGAATCCCAACACCTTCCTCTTCAAATGGCGGAAACAAAACCGAATTTGGACTCGGCTGGTCCTGGTTTTCACTTGTATTTCCTGCCGCCAAGGGCTTCGGTGTAGTCAGTTCCTCCTGCAAACAAATCAAAATTGCTGCTTCTAAACAAAATTATTCAGAACCATCAATGGCTCCTTGAGCTCATTGAAAAACGTTAGAGAATTGGTGGGATACCTCTCCTGGGATTATACTTTGCTGTGGTGATGCATCAGGAGGGATACAATCTCTAGGAATCAAACAATCCTCGTTCGTTTTCCCGGGAAGAGACACAGAAGATGGCATGGGTAACTGAGACATACTGCTGCACTGAGATGCATCTCTTTTCTCCTTGCTTGTTTTCTTATTCTTGAAGAAGAACAAGTTCGAGACTTTCCATGATGATTTCAGGCTTGCCGTCTCAGTCAGCTCTCGTGGAGCCTGTCCTCTCGAAGTTCCCAAGACAGATGTTTCTCCGTTGAGCCTGACCTCAGGGACTGATTTTGACCTCGCAAGGATATTCAGAGAATCACTTGCCATTTCCACTTGATTCATATCACTCGTTATGCATGATGTTGACACCCTAGTCGCTGGTGCTACTTCACTGCTCTCTTCGTAGGATCCAGTTGTCACTTTGGTCTCCGAGAGTGCAAGCATTTCGCCTAAGGTGCTTGAGGTTCTTGGGATATGTTTACGCGGCTGAGTGCCTCTCGTTACTGACATCAAAGCCCATCTTTCAGAGAGTCGCTTCTTCGCCTCTCTGCAGACAGACGACTCTGGAGAAAATGACGCTCGGCTGAAGGAAGAAGGAGAGAAAGGACTTTCAAACCTATTTGGACAGTCCCATGAATGCCGAGAAGCTGGTGACATGATCTCAGAATCGCTGAAGTTCCCCACTGGATCTTCATTATCAGACTTGTTAAACGAACTGTCATCACTGATGTAACCATTGGATAAGACAGAAGAAGACTGAGTCTCATTCCTGTGGTGACCCATCAGATTTTCACGCACTTGACGAGTAATTTCCCTTGCCACTTCTTTAGTCTCAACATCTCCAGGCTCATCAAAATAGCCTCCATTGTGCAGACCTCTCGGAGAGGATGTGCTTGATGAAACAGCCTTTATATCTAGAGACTTTCCCAGACTAGGCTTCAAGACGACAATACGGGTCGGCTGTACAGGGTGCTCCTCGGTTCTCCGGTTAACAGTAGATGAAGAGTAACCCAGATCACGGTTTCCCCATCCACTTTCTTGGCTTGATGAAGCAAACTTTTTAGCCTGCTTGTTCTTCCTCCCTTGAACCACAAATTTTTCAGTTTCAACAGCCTTTGAAGGTCTCAATACTGTGATTCGCTTCGCCTCTGGATGAGGAGGAACAGGCTGAAAGCCAGAAAGATACTGAGAGAATGAATTTGATTCCTGGACATATTTAACAAATAAATCCTTGTTGGAGCTTAAAACTTCAAGTGCATCTTGGAACTCTTGGGATTGTCGAAGATTCTCATCTGTTACGAGGCGTTTTGCTTCCGCGAACTTTTCTCGAACAAGAGCCATCTGTTTCTCAGTTATACTTTCATCATACCTTCCTTTTCTAGGTGAGCAATCCCTTGAACGACTTGCCTTCTGAGGCGACTGCCACATTTCATACACATCTTTAAATTCCCTGCTGAGCTCCTGATACTTTTGGACCTCAGTATCCACAGAAGACACGGAATGATTCAGCGAAGAGTGAGAATTGCTCCTGGATTTCCTTTGCGGTGCAGCAGTCTCAAGATCCATCTGTGGAAGTGTTTCCAAACCCATTAACTTAGCAACCACATTAGTTGGGCTTTGTTTATGTTGGACTTCTTTTGACATCTCTCTAGCAATGAGTTTCTTCATCGGTGTACCATTCACTTTGCTAGAAGCACTTCTCCTCAAATCAGACATAATCTGTTCAAACAGTATAGGCAAGAAATAAGAAAAAGGAACTGAATATTAAAAGCATCTGGTGCTGCCTGCATATTATTTAGCCAAACTTACCAATTCAGTTTCTGAATGGCCTTTATAAGAGGGGCTTGGCATTCGGGTCACATCAGATCGACTCCTTGAAAGAGAGGATCCTGCCAACAAACGATCCCGTATCAATAACACAGGTCCATACAAAACTCAAGATAGAGATAGAGAGAGAAACATAAAGGAAGTACATTGGCAATACTAATAATACAGAATTGCACTGCATATATGGTAGACATTAATAATAAACAGAAGCCTCCTTCAGTCACAGAGGGAAATAGTGATTACCATCATGATGTGGTTTATCTGTAAGCAACTTGTTCCCATGAACGGCTGTTCCTAGATCAAATAGGTTTACCATCCTCCCCAAGCATCCTGGAACCGGACTTTCAATCTTTTGAACTTTTCTTCCTCGGAACTCATTCATTTTGGCTGATAATGAAGAAGTGTACATCACATTAGTGCAAGAAAAACTTTCTAGAAGAGCAAAATTCGACTAAAGCTGGAAGCCTGGAACTAACAAACAAAGATTCACAATGAAGTAACTTTTCTATCCCTTAAAAAGCTTCAAAGTGAAACAGATTGAGAGAAAGGAAAAGATAAAGATACAAACTTTAAACCTAAGAAGATCTCGAGGAAAAAGGGTCATTGGGTAGAAGAAGATAGCAGCAAAAGAGGATTGAATAGCGCAAAGCATAACAAAACAAGAACTTTGGTTAGAAAAAAACAAAGAAAGGAAAATAAGATTCTGTAATGAAGAGGGACGTTTCATAGAGTGTGTAAACAAAAAGAAAGAAGAGCCCCAATCACAGTTTTTCACCATGACCTATCACAATCACAAAGACAGTCACATTTTAATGCTCTGAGCAAAACTCTTACAAATCAAAACCTTTGGCTCACCCACCAATGATAATAATACTAATACGGATCCTCAAAACTCCGAGAACTTGTCGATGATAGAATCAGACACAAGCCTTAAACACACTGGATCTGCATCTACCAGAGTCCAGCATCAGTGATTAAGAAAGCTAATCTATAGTACACACTCAGCTTTGTCTCCTCTGATAAAGGAAGTAATAATTGCTGCAAATCGACAAAGAGAAGAGCTTACTCAATCAGAAAAGGAAGAATCTGACTGTGACAATAAGAGAAGAAGCTAATCGTAATCTGTG